GTAGGATTTGAGGACCCCAGGGTACCCTCTAATAGTAGGACTTGAGAACCTATGGGTACTCCTATAGTATAGTCCTTGAGGACCTATGGATACCCCTATAGGATAGCCCTTGAGGGAAAACGTAGACTGCAGACTATGGTAAAATATGGACGCTTAGGTGAGCTCCAAATTTGGAGTTTACGTGTGGAGTTTATTTTTTTGACCGCATTGTTTTGATTGACTTTTTGATTTTTTTGATTTTTTCGATTTTTGTTTTGATTTAAATCAAAAAAATCAGCTATTTCCCCCTTGGATAAAGTACTACTTACTACATGAACGAAAATTGTTTTCCGAAAAAAAAATTCTGAAATACTTCAATTTAATTTTTCACAGAAGGACATCTGCTCCGATGGTTCTAGCATAGGTCAATGAATAGTTTTATTTCTAAGTTGAATATTTCGGAATACATAGACAATAATCAATACAGATTCTTTGTAAATCTAGTAAGCCTTATAGCAGCTGATCACTTCTGTTTATTTCATAAAGTAGTTTGAAACGTTTTTTTCCGTCCTATAATAATCACCATAGTAAGAAAATAACACTACTTTAACAAAATGAAGTCCTCTTATAACTTATTACAAAAAAGAATATTTAAAGAGAGTACAGTTTCATTTATACATACGTTTCTTGGCTTAGAAAAGATTGCTTGGTTCGAATGAGAACACCAATTTATTATCGACGCTTTTCTGTGCTTAAACTGAAAGATAGTCTTGCGTATATATACTAAAAGAATCTTTTTTTTTCGTTGTGCATCGAACCATATCGTGAAAAATGCGCAAACAAATTTCTTCATATACCTTTTTTTCTTCACTTACTTATTTAATTACTCACGTGTTTGTTTTATCATGGTTTCTTTCTAGAAGCAAACGATATTCTCTTTTCTCTATACAAAATAACCAATAACAATCAAAATAAGCTTGATAAAACGAATAACGATATTGTCTTATTCATATTTTGTTTATTTTTTCATTGAAAATTTTCCATTTTTCCCTATTCTCCAATTTTTCTAATTAAATATGTACTATATTCATCAAACGGCAAGACATTATTTATTAGAATATTCTGAAGCTTGCGTCAGCTTATTCTCAAAAAGTATGTTTTTTTCTTCGTTGCAGGTTTTAGTTTTCTTTTGCTTGTTCTTTTATTCGTTCTTTGTACAGACAAACGAGAATAATATACGAACGAATGTGCGTCGCAATGTGTGCTTAATAAAAATATGGATATGATGTAAACAAATCTTGTTTTTGTTTTGATTGGAAATTTCATCTTTAATTAATTAAATATTTTGATTTTTCATCACATATAATATTCATTCTTTTATTTATTTATCCAACAATTTAAAATTAAAATAAAAACAAAATAATGCTAATTAATCATGTATTTTAATATTTATTTGAATAAAGTAATTCTACGAAGTTTCAAATAATTGAATTTATTTTCTTTAAATGTTACAAATGAACGTATTCATTTTACTGTTATAATTTCTTTTTGATTTTATGTTTGTTATTACTCATATAATAGTGAGACGTTACGATATTGAAAAAGTCAAAATTTATTCTTAGATTCATTGTTTTCTCCGATGAATTTTATTCTCAATGATAAATGTTTGATTCAAAGCAAATGCCTTTTTCGATTCATCTAAAGTTGTAACTACTGTTTCAATCTTATTATTGAAGCAGACAAAATTTTGAAAAAAAACTCTTTTTCATGCTCAACAAACAACAACGATTATGTATGATTAACACTGATTAGAAAAAATGCAAGACAAATGTGTTCTTTTTTGAATAAGTTTCATTTTTAGAGTGTAAAAACTACGAAAAACTCGAATTACGAAATGCTGACACACATTGATTGTAAATCCTAGAATAACAGCGCATTTTAACATTAAAAAATTCAGTTTTTCTCGGGTTTCACAATCTTAAACTGAATATTTTGCTGAAAATTCCACTTTTCTTTTACATTTTTCGTATGAGGGTAGTAGTTTAGAATCAAGCTTCAGTTTTGAGCATTGAAGCTCGTTGCTTTATAAGTGTCTGTTTGGGTATAGATAAGGGAACGTATTTTAATTTCTCATTGTTCTAATTTTCTTTCAGATTTCAAACATAATACAATGATTTTACTTATATTTTGTAACTTTACTTTGTTTTTTCAGCATTCTCATCTGTTGTACTTTGGGGTGTGTGGGTGTGTGGGTGTGTGGGTGTGGGTGTGTGGATGTGGGTGTGGGGTGTGGGTGTGGGTGTGGGTGTGCGTGTGGGTGTGGGTGTGGGGTGTGGGTGTGGGTGTGGGTGGGTGTGGGGTGTGGGTGCGGGTGTGAATGTGTTTCTTTATTTTTCACACCCAACCACTGGCACACCCACACTCACACCACCCAATCCCACACACCCACACCAACACACCCACACCCACCCACACCCACACCCACACCCCACCCACATCCACACCCACACTCCTGGAATCCCATGGAATCGGAATCAGACGGAATTACTATTGATTCCCAGCGATTCCATCGGATTCCGCCTCGATCTGATTCCCGGAATTCCGTACCGGAATCGCTCACTTATTTTAGATATTTGTCTATGACTGCACAAGACATGGTGTGAGGGAATGTGCAACGGAATTCCGGGAATTACATCGAAGCGGAATCAGATGGAATCGCTAGCAATTCCGGCCCATTCCGGAATTGCATCCTAATTCCGGAATCGAAAGGAATTGGATGGATTCGCTGGAAATCAGTAGTAATTCCGTCCGATTCCATCTGATTTCCGGAATTCCCTTTCGAAATAGCATCCAATTCGGCAATCGGATGCAATTCCGGGAATTCCGGAATTCGAAGGAACTCGATCGTTTTCGAATAAGGCGAATTAGTTGGGCGATTTGGAATTCTGGAATCGGATGGAACTGATTCCGGGGGCGGAATCGATTCCGCAATGTGCAACATCGTGGAATGGAATGTATTCTCACACGCACACACACAGCCACAGCCGCAGCCACACCCCACACCTACACACCCACATCTACGCCCACACCCACATACCCACACCTACACCCACCCACAGCAACTCACACCCACACCCACCCACACGCCCACACCCACACCCACACCCACACCCCACACCCACACCCAAATAGCAATTGATGAACATTCTTGCTAAAAAAGGAACTAAAAATTACACCCATGCCCACACCTCTGGATTTGACTCTTTCGTCGAAAATAGTTATTGGAGGAAAATTATGATTTTCTATAAAGTTCAACCAAAAGTCTTCAGAGTCGAAGAATCAGAATCTGTAATTGATTTTTCGGTCAAGGTTTCTCGATCCTGAAGACCTCTAATTAAACTTTATAACAGATCGTGATTTTCCTTCAACAGCAATTCTTTTGACCAAAGAATCAAATCCATGAATTTTTCGTTACATGTTACTTGATAACGTAACGGCAGCTTCCCTCCTCTAATCAAAGCTATAGATAAACATGTTGAAATGGAAGTCTTAGATTTATGCACCAATTCTTTCTATGAATTCTTTAATCTAAATTTATTTGTTTCACTCTATCTACAACACGCATACTAACAAATAAGAGAGACATACATCTTTATACATATGTAGAAGAACAAGAAAAGATGGATATCAAAGAGGTTATATAATTTAGTGCTATTAACACACATCATATTATCATTTATATTCTTCGTGAAAATCAGTTACAAACATTAGATGTTCGTTTCATACTTCATTTTTCTCTACTACAAATAGCAAGCCGCAGTCTGTCTTATGTTCTCGTGTCTTTGATGAGTCAAATCCAAAGGTTCATGTTCGCTCCTGTTGGCATTCATTTTCCAATAATTAATAAAAAGAAGTCGACGTCAGCTAATAGAAATGATTTCACATTTTGGTTATGGTAGATTTACACATATTGAAAATAAATGATTGAAAAAATTGAAGAGCTATAATTCGAACAATGACGTAAATACTCGATGTTATCAGAATTGATTGAATAATTTTCAAATACTAAATCAGAGTTCGTGTTTGGTACATGTCTACATGAAGACATCATAAAAAGTGCTTCACTAATAAAAATAGCAAAGAAAAAAAGAATTGAAAATAGTTATATAGTAATCATTTTGTCCATTTCAATTTTCGATTTAAAAAATCTTTTACAATAGAAATTTTTTATCACAAATCTACATAACAATCTTCAAACTTTAATCAAATTCAATACAACTAGAAATTTCAATTTAATATAGATAATATACAATGATTTTATTATGTTTTTATTACAATATACAAATAATTATTTCTAGATAGATATTGAATTTCTAACAAGCATCCTCATTACACAATATTGCAGGTCTAATTCGTCTTACGTGCCGTCGAGAACGTAAGATGTTAATGATTTTGTTTCTAAGTCCAGGTAATGATAATATACAAACAAAAGGTAATAGAAGTGGCATATAATAGCTAAGAAATAAGATATACTCAAAAACTTCAGTTCCCATATCCGACGGTAAACCACACAAATATAAAAAATTCATCACTGTTAGAGGAAAAAAGAATATAACAAAAAGTAAAGATATAGATAATAATTGAATGACCATTTTTCGCTGTTTTCGCCATTGAATTAATTGATTTACACGATGTTTTTGCCATGAAACACGTGCTATCAAAGTTATACTTGATATAACAATTATTATAGAAGGTATTATTTCATGCGCTATCATTTCCCACATAAATAGAGCATAATAATCATAAAAACAAAGATAACAACATTGCATAGTAGAATCATCGAAATAATTTTCACAAGGTGGAAAAAAATGGGCAATACTATAATAGATCATGCAATAAAGAAGAATTAAAATGAGAGGAAGATAATGAATAAAAAAAAGTTTCTTTTTTGTCATCATCCATCGACTATGAAAAATAAGTATATGTCTTTCAATAGAAGCCCAACAAACGAGTACCATTTGAGTTACATAAAGTCCCGAATCAATAAAACTCCATATAGCACAAAAAGTACGAGATCTATGCCATATACCATCATATCGATAATAATAAAGTATCGATGGATAAAGTGTTAATTCAGAAATAAGACCAATAATAAGATCAACAAGAATAACATGATTATTGAGAGCATTACGCGATGGACGATGAAATAGAAGATATGAAATAATAATGAATGAACAGATAATAGATGGTATAAGAAAAATAATATAAAGCCAAAATCCAACTATTTTAGGTATGACATCATTGACAATAATTTCTGAACTATTGCTAATATTAAATGTACTGTCCTCGTCAATCATTTGAGAAATGAACGCATTAGAATAAATCTAAATTTGAAAAAGAAAATAGAATAAATAAGATATTTTCGAATGTCATTTTGATAATATCATTTTCTTTCGCTAATAAACAGCAATGTTTATCTCTTAATTATATGTCAGCAGATGCTATCTCACTTTTAAGTAGATCAAATATTAGATTGTGAATAATATAAAATTCTCAAATAGTAAACAAGAAAAAAAAATCTATAGATGAACTATTAGAAAGAAAAAGAAGCATAGAAACACTTTCTATATTACAAAGAAATTCTACTAGCTTTTTCGCCTCGTTTATAAAGCAGTTCATTGAAGCAGTCAACACTAAACATCTGTTCTCCAATTTTCTTTTAATTAGCTTACTTCACTTTTTCAAAATGTTAAAGAATAACAAATGGTAGTTAATAGAATAAAATTGAAGAGAGAAATATATAAAACAAAAATTATTGCGTAGATATGAACAAAGAAGCTTATGAAAAACAGTCATTTTTCCACATATCTTGAAGATTAATAAGTACAATAAAAAAAAATGCATAGGATAAATTAAAAATAAGCCATAAAAAATAATAAATGAATGTGTCCTAAGATCGTTTATACGAATTCACGTACTAAGTGCTTACTTCTTTAATAATATGTTGTTCAATAAGAGAAGGTACTGGAAATGGAAAATTAAAACAGATGTTTTTTTTTTCTTCTGTTCTTTATATATGATTCTACTTAGTCAAGTGAATAATAAAGAAAAGGTCATTAAAACAAATAATAATTCATTAATGAATAATTTTGACCATTCCACAACTACGGACTCTGTTTATTCGGAGTTTCAAGCTGATTTAAAAAATGTTTGTGACTTCAAAAATTTATATGAATAATTAATGTTTGCTTATCAAACGTATGTTTTTTTGCGAAATAGTCAAGAACATTCTTTTAAACTTAACCGCTTAAACGTCTATTGAGGTATTCGACTCTAATGAAATTACATTTAACAACAGACGGAAAGCTATTTTTTGTATGATATTGATAGTCGGTTTGTGATCATTGAATCGAAAAGGATTCTTTTCTTTATAATAGTGCTAAATTTATAAGTTTTTCAATAAATATTGAATATCTGTAATTGATAGCGTCGCCATCTTTTTTCAAAAGAAGATAGATCTCATTTTTTTTAGATAAGCTGTACATCTTGGGCAACAGACCTGACTTTGTTTTTTCTCTCTCAAAAGAAACGATTAAGATTCGAAGATACTAAAATAGTACAAAGGATCTATCGAAGTGAGAGCGCAAAATGATTTAAGAAGTCAAATTTCCTGTATAATCGATCATTTAAATATTTTGTGCATACTCAAGTCATGAACAACAATGCAAGAAACTTCGTACATGTAATTAGAGATGTGCAGGATTACCCTGATCTATCCTTCAAGGTAGAGTGAAGGTTAGAAAGTTTTTCTCAGTCAGAATATAGAGTACGAAAAAACACTTACTCTGATGGAATCATCTGTTTCGCCCTAACATTGTGAAAAAACAAAGTATTTTTGCTTTTTTTTATTCGCCTTCGACATATTTAGTTTCTTCTCTACGTGCAAATATTTGTCTACCTGAATCTTGTTCGGAATCAAATAGGGGACGACATGCAGACACTATCGCACTCAAACTGCATATAACAGTACAGTAACGCTTATTCAGTCTTTGTTTTTATCCCATCTATCTTTTTGTGTACACGAAGACACTTATTATGTTGTCCAACAGTACTCATCAAAACTTCGTTTCTTATTTTTCTCATTTCAATATTATTCAATATATGCAGATTCTCACCAGATCGGACATCCTCAGAAGTAAAATCGAAAATAAAGGAAGATAGTATCTGGTATGCACTCTGAGAAAAAAAAACACGGTTGCTTTTCATTCTTTATACGTTAATGTCGTTTTCATTTCTGCTTCTTATTATACAATCTAAGAAGAATGTGCCTTCAAAGCAATCAAATAGAATACATGATTCTTCTTCATATCAAGACATTCATAGATTTTTATAGTGAATTGAGTCGATTCGATAGAGATTTGTTGTATTATCTTGTTGACAAATTGAAGAATAACATGGTAATTTGGTCCTTTTCTTCTGATTCGATTCGCAGCCATCTTTTCTTTTTATGCGTAGACAGCGTGAGTGCTGGTGTCTGGATGTGTGCGTGGAATCATTCTCGTCATCTATTCAAGCGACTACATGCATACCCTCTTCGCCGATCGTAAGTGCTCGAGGCATACTATTGAATACCGCCGATAACACTATCTATTGAATGATTTGTTTATCGAAAAGATACAATAGATATCTAAAAGATTTTCAGCAAGGAACAGTATACATTCACAATAGATTCTATTCATGTCCACTAAATGGTTCATCTGCCGTTCAAGTAGAGTATTCGACTGATTTTTACTGCTGAATCAAAAGCAAATGATCATAATCTGTTCACAATGGTGTGTGATTATCTTCTGAAAGAACCAAAAAGTTATATAATCAAGCCGTGGGTATGCCCATTGTGTTCGTAGAATGTTAGGACTGTTTGTCCATTTCTTGTTATTTTCAACTAATCTTACTACAAAGAGCATATTAGATTTTTCAAAAAAAGCATCCCAAGTTATAGCATAATCTTTTTGGCTTATATGTCTATTCAAATGAATGATTAAATGTAATCAATGATAGTGATATACAAAAACGTGATCACTAAGTTAAATCCAATATTGTTCAGCTGCGATGCTGAGGAAGTATGTGATACACTGAGATGCAGATCGCTAATCATTCGGCCAGAGATCGTATCGTTTGTTGTTGTTTCATTGGTGTCAACTGGAAGATAGATGGTATCAATTGAAAAGAATGGTGGTAAAGCAACAACTGGTAATCCGCGTAGATCATCAAGTTTTTCGAATTTCAAACAAACCTCCAGCAAACAATTTCCACTAATGGTTCCCATCGCATAGGCACTATAACCGTTTGGACACGCTTGAATGCGCGATCTGGTAGCTATATTTCCGAATTGACATGAATAGATCCCACCATAGTGAGGCAATGTATTTGTACTTGATGTGAATCTTTCACCCAAACATACTTTGATACCATCGATGTCGTACGCTTCTACCAAACCTTGTGGACATGTGTAATCATTGGTGACTGGATTGACTTTTTTCGTTGTGAATGAGCCACCAAATACATAGGTCGATCGAATGTCACCAGTGCCATACAACCCTAACTGTTGACTGACATTCCGATTGCATCCATAAAGATTGAGCTCGCGCCGCCCCTGTCCTGTATAAATATTCTTGCAACACTTTTTCAACCAAAGAAAACCACATGCTCGACAACTTTGTCTATATAATGATGCATTTAGGATTTGAGTATGTAAGAGATACTTATTGAACCCGTATTTGCATTGATCGTTACCTGTATAGTAGTTTTTCATTTGCAGACTTGAACATTTTCTAAATAGAGCATTTTTTCTATCATCGAAATATAAACATTTCTAGAAACTGGGTAGTCAATTGACAAAGTATTGACATCAAATGAACGATTTTCCAATGAATATCAAGTGTTGACTTACTGTGGCATATGAGAATCTTCTGTGCAAGTGCGAATAAAGCCTCCGAACTGTGTCGTCTGTTGAACTGAAGCACAGGAACCATCATCGAGATTGGCAATCCAGTTGAACGATGGTGAATTTCGATTCATACATCCTCGAATTGTATTCATTTCCATATAGGTATTGACCGCTTCATTAATTTCTTTTCGAACTTTGCTCAATGCCATGTCAGTCAATTCAGGAATTTTATCCGCTTGAATAAAGTATGTGAGATTTTCAACAGCTCGTCGAATGATAGCTGGACTTTTCTTCACTGATGCTTGCCATGCTTCCATATGACCACCTAAGATAAAGATTTCGCCACCTTTAGAACTTACTACTTTTCGATTGATTTTTCTTTTGTATTCATTAATCGAGGTTTGATTATATTTGGAATCCGAATCGTAATTTGCCGAAAGACCAAATGAGCTCAAAAATGATGCTTCCGCTGCTGCTTTGTACATTCTTTTTTCTGATGTGCTGGAAGAGTAATTGGAATGGGATATGAAATCTTCTTCAGTGATCGATCCACCCAAATATAAACGGCTTGTATAGTGTGTTCCATATTTTTTGACAAAAAGCTGAGCAAGATAAGTCGCCAGAAGACTTTCCTGATTCGCTTGATATTCGGCAATTTCAATCAGATCTTTTTTAACTTGTGGATGTAGAGGACATGTAGATAGAAGAAAGACGTCGACCATGAGATAGTCGATTTGGTTTCGCAGTGTGATCGACTTCTCTTGTCCCTGTTCCTTTTTTGTTGTTTGATACTCTTTCGAATAGGAGCCACCGATTTTGAAGCCTCCGAATCCTGCGTTACCTGCTATCATTAAATTCGATGAGTAGTCACTAGTACGTGAATCGAATGTGTCGATTTCTATTGATCCCATCTCAATTTTATTCTCGTGTAGAGGAATCATTTCAATACAGGATTGAAACACATCGGAGTCATTTAAATTCGACACTTCATAGATAGGTGCCAAATCAATGAAACGTAAATGATCCCAACCGAATCCAGGATAAATATCGACGTTCAATAGTTTCTCACCATCGCATCTGAACCATAGTAACAACAAGGCCATGTAAGACACCTTCATTTTCGTCGAGATAAATTTTTTAATCTGAAAATGAAATTCATAAACATCGATTACACTTCATGAGCTACTTGACAGAAAATTGATCGAACCGAGTTTGTTTTCAATAAACACTATAGCCCGAAAACAGTCTTTAATAGCTTCGATAGACATTGCTTACGCTGCGTCTCTTTTTTTTTGAATTACAAAACGCCACGTATGAAATCAACACAACTTAAATACTGTCAATCGACACCAATTTCTTAAGCAAATACATATATATCTAAGCCAATAACTCGAAATTAACATCTCATGTTTCTACATGTATATCTAAAGTGATTATTGCAATCTCATAACACCAGTCAGCGACTTAATCGATCAGTATCGAATTTCGAGATATACGCTGGAGAAGTAATGAAGACAACACAGAGAGAGAGAGAGAGACCAGCGGCATGTGTTTCTTCTAGAAACTATTGATCTGTTGATGTTGGTGAGTGGCTAGGTGCGAGTATAGGTGTGTATTAATCAATCATGACTAACATTTTATGCACACTAAAAAAAAACCTAATTTAACAAGAGAACGTATAACTCTCTCTCTGTAATGACACACCAAATAAAACATGGAGGAGATTAGAAAACCAACTGAGAGAACTAAAAGAAAAGAGAGGTAGTGGCTCACAGGTAGTACCGCTATCTAACAGATGGATTTGATTGTCGGCAAGATTAGATGGCGATATAGGTCCACATTCAGCCCGCATCTCGGTCAACAAATCTTCTTGAATCTTTTATCTTATTTAATGAACTGGTTTTTATTTTTTATTTTTTAATAATCTTAAAAAATAATTTAAAACTGTTTAGTAGAGAACGATTTCTATTTCTCTGTAGTCCTATATGCAATTTGTTGTCTAACACATTTTCATATTTGCATCAAAATTAAGCTACACTGATTCATTGGCAGGTCCTCTCGTTTGTTTTAATCAGACACAAAGAATCTAATTCCTAAGTAACAAGTAACGTTCGTCGATGCGACTCACTTGGCCCTCAACTGAATTCATTATATTTTTCTGGTTATCCTTGACGAACACAAATACGACTGATTAATTTACAATGTCTAACAATCAATAGTTTTCCCAAGTGAAAGATAAAAATGAAATAAATTAGAGTGTTATTATCGCTTACTATATTCCTTATTAGAATTCAGTCATATTTAATAGTTTCAGAGTCTCAATCATTTTTCATAAATTAGCTAAACATGCCTTCCACAGTGTTTTGTTTGCTTAATCAAGCAGACTGTGTCTACAGGATTAAGCCCCATGCGTATCATTCAACTTCATAGAGTGTAACTACTTTCCAGCGCAAGTCTGGAATGACACTCTTACATGAGTCAAATTTAGATGTGGTGATGAACAATTAAGGTGAATTTTACACTAATGAAGAACAATAAACTAGACAGGCTTATGTAACATCCTAAAATTAAACGCATTCTGGTGCGTTTCGTAAGGTTCAATATTTATGTTTCAGCAAAGAGAAGTAAATTCAAAGAAATGTTAGCGTTTTTATTTATTCTCTAATGTTCCTTCTTACAGGAAGCATAAAGAAAGTTAATATTACTTCTGCATGCCAGTTATCCTCAGTCCAATTCTCTCAACTATTCTCCTTTGAGCTCTAGCCACAAGATATCTACTTTTTTCTGCATGAATACTATTCCAGTGCAAATCTGTTAAGAAAAGTTTTTCATCGAATTTAAGTTAAGCATGCTGTACATATAGAGAAAAATTCTTTCTTATAATTAATTCGAAAGAAAATTATTTTTCTTTTTTTTGCCGATTGAAGACACTATTTCAACCAGTTCCATTCGCTAGGTTGGCAGTTGTTCTATGCATTTTGGTTCTGTCTTAAGCTTACTTACCCTCAAGCTTTTCAACCGGCAGTTAGTCGTCCGTCCGCACTCCTACCAGCACCACATACGGCTTGCCGCTCCCATACTTAAGCACAATATCTATACTAATAATACTCTTCTATTTTCTACTTAATAGCTAAGAAAACTCGACAACTACAACAAAAAACCTAGAAAAACAATACCACCTATGGATACCTCCATAGGATACCAGATGAGGGCCGATCGGTACCACTATAATATAGGTCTTGAAGACCTGAGAGTAACTCTATACTAGAGCAATTCAGGACCCATCAATACCTCTATAGTATAGTAGTGGAGGTCTTATGGGTACCTCTATACAATAGCACTTCAGCATCTATGGCTACTCTTCTACCATAGCTCCTCAGCACCTACGGATACCCACACAGTATAGCATATAAGGACCTATGAGTACCAAAAATGCAACACGTTTGTTCTAAAATTGGGAATATGTTTCTCAGAAATGGAACACTTCAGTTCCGAAAATGGGAATTCCTGCGAATCTGAATAGGGAAATCAAAAACGAAAACGATTAATTATTATCTCTGAAGAATACTTTGAAGTATCTGTGAACAAAGTTAGAGAGAAGTCGTAAATAGTCAGGATTGAGAAAACTGGTGTTTTCCATTACGAGAAATAAAAGAAAAGAATTTCAATATGATTACTATGAAAAGAAACAGCTTCTTAAATTCAGTAATTCGGTAACAGTAAGCTTTTTAGAGTCAAGTGACGTTCCTAGTTGCACAAGCTATACGAGCTGTATATAATCTTCCCGAAGTTCTATTAGTTTAACATTGTAAGTTGAATGATTTTCTGAATTGATTTATTACTTATACAAATGTTTTAAAGTGAAATAAAATCAACGTGTCAATATATTTTATTGAATATCATCATCAAGAACATATGACTGTACATTAACAGGATTTGTTTTCTCTTTTGATGAAAGAGAATTTTCTGATGTTTCATCATTAGTTGTTGATATAATACTATCGATACTTGATTTTTTAAGCTCTTTTACTAGATCATTTTCTTCGTCTTGTTTTTTTCGTTTGATCAAATAAAAAATTATTAATGAAAGACCAGACAAAATTAATACACATATGATAATAATGATTATTATTGTTTTCAGATTTGTTTGAATATTAGAATTATTGTTTTGTTTTTTTAACTTTTTTTTTTTAATTGATGCTTTCGATTTATTCTTATTCATTGTTAAATTTTTATTAGTTGATTGTAGTAAACTAGTCAATTCCATAGTTTTGTTTTTATTCATATGTCGATTATATTCTTCATTTAATTCTTCTATACTCATTGGCATATTTGCATTAACCTTTCAATATAAAACATATGAACTTTAAAAAAACAAAAGCTTATTCATACATTATAATAGCAAAAAGGAATAAATGCAGCATTAGGAAAATCATATTTATGCTGACATGGATGAGAATCAAAGACTATATCTAATCGACAAATAATCCAATCTCGTTTAACAAACCATATATAGAATGTATAACGAAATTTCCCTTCATCTAAATTAATTAACTTAATATTATCCGCGATTGTTACTGTATAGTTTTTATTAAAAAATGAATCGTGTTCTAATGTTTTAATCGAATCTGATTTTTCATTATGAATTGATATAGAAGTTGGTGAAATACTTCCACTTTGATGTATTAATGTTAAATGAAGTTTAAATTTAGTATTGAGAGTTTTTTCATTGATACATTTATGAAGTAATGCATTTATAGTAAATATATTAATTAAATCATCAGATGAAACAAGATATGGATGAGAACAATATGAACGAAGATTATCTATTTTGTTTATTGTATGAAGAAAACCAACAAAAGAAATTTTATCATCAGGACAACGAATAGATATGATTGTCTTTATTAAAATTAAATCAACTTTATTTAAAATAACTAAATGAACATAGAATAAAAGTAATGATAATAATAATAATAGCATATTCCATTAAAATGAAAAAGATTACTATAAGCGCTATTTTATTTTTATTCTAAAAAAGCGATTCATTAACAATTTCAGCTTGCAAAGAAAACAAATAAGGCTGAATTCATTGAATCCAGTTATATTATATTCATGACTTGTTTTTTCTTTATAATAAACGCCGATCGACTGAAACATTTATGTAGAACAATCATAGTATTTTTTCTAAAATATCGTCTATATCTATCCATATCTTACTGTACACATATAAGTTTACTATTTGAATTGGATGTGTTCAATGAGGATAGTAGATGCCGTCACTATTAGTTTAGTTATAGTAGTTCAAATCATCAATGTTCTGAATTTTGTTCATGGTGTTTTTCAGTTCTATTTGATTATTATATTTTCGATATTACTTATCAAATATAAAATTTCAGAAAATGTTTACAATTAATCGTTTTTAGTTTGTCAAATTTTTCTAGATATATAGACTGAAAAAGAAAACACTAATGTCACACGATAGGTCATGAGTAATTTCTACAATTAAATTTTGAATATTTCATAAGATTTCTATTAGATGTACTAATTTCTTTTTCGCTGATTTAAGAAGAAATAAACATTATTATGTGCAAATAATCTTATTAAAAACTACATTCATTTGTTACTTATTAATTGCAGTAAACAATGAAATACAATTCTTGATTGTGATAAAACATTTTCTTTTTTTTAATGTACATGCAAACTTTCTTGTACTGGTCAGTCTAGAGCATGCACAAGCGAATTGCGCTAGGGATGAGCATTTCAAATATGAGCATCTCTTTATTCTGAGCAGTGGGCGCTTATTTCTAATCTCATAAGCAATAATAAGTTCTCTATTGTGAGTAATATATGTTTTTTAACTCAGGTGCAGGATGAAAATAAATTGTTGGAAGAAAGAAAAAAAAATCACCTTATGCAGTCGAAATGCAATTTCAACTAAATACTTATTGGTTGAAAAAAAAAGAAACTGAAAAATTTCCAATAATGAGCCACTCCATAAAGTGAGTGGGTTTAGACGATCTTCATGGTGCTCACATTATAGAACTTTCAGTATGGTTTTTTATTATCAAAAGAAATATTATTATGGGAAAAATGAAAAAATCTGATTTGCTTTTCATTTCGGTTGAAATGATCTTTTCATCAGTGAGTAGTAATAAAAATGTTTCTGTTTGCTCAGTGATAAAGAACGGAAGAAACAGTATAAAAACAAAACAAAATAAAACGCATCGAAACTGACATTAAAACGTATATAATATTTAAGAAATATGCGTTGTGTTACATGTTCAATTCATTTGCCATCAAATAATTATGCATTAATTGAAGGTGATTATTTTTGTTGGACATGTTTCTTTGAACAATATGCTAATCTTTCAACAACACAAACAATATGTCAGAATTGTGGAAGTATACCTTTATCGTCTAGTAGAACAACATTGTAAGTCAAGAAAATTTATTATTCTATCGTCTTCATTAATGTTTATTTTTATTAGAAATCAAAAACAAGAACAATATGGCTCGGCAACCTCATTGATTAGTACACAATCGACCAAAATATCCGAAGCTGGTAAATTCTTTTTAATGAAATAATTTTTCTAATATATTTTATAGCTAGACATATTGGTACAACCATCGCTAAAACTTTTCGTCGGTTTCGTTCGCCTTCTGCATCACGAACTGCAGATGATCCTAGTCATCAAAAGTAAGATGAAATAAACTAGAAAAATCATATATGATATTTAAATTGAATTCAATCATGAATTTAATCTCGTGATATTGTTCATGTAAACTTTACCACAAACGAAGAGCCTATTCACATACTTAAATAGATATCTAATGCAAATATGTACACTGTTTGTGCTCTAGCAACAAGTATAACTCACTTTTTGGGTGACCGTAATTTTAACATATTGTTTAGATTTTTCTCAAAAAGAATGTATATCAAACACAGAAAGTTAAAAGAAGGAACTTAATCATTGACGAAATCGTCCTTCATAAGATATACCGTCTGTTTTATTACTTTATTTTAATACTCATTTGCTAAATTTAAAAATTATCCTGAGAGAAAATCGTCTTAATTCAAAAATTAGTAAACTTTATTGTAATAAGCATTATATTTAAAATTGCCTTAAGTCTAAATTTGTACAAATTTAATTACAAAACAAGTTAAAATTGACACGAGAAATCTATAAGCATATATATATATGTCAGATTATATTTTGCCTAGGTCAATATTCTTTCGTCGTTTTTTGTTTTTCAATTTTATAGTCTTGTTCAAACGCAAATGAAAAGCTATTTTTTAAATATTATAGCGCCATAAATATGAGAAAAAAATGTCTTCAATTACCGTTAGACCCTAGTGTCTGGCGACCACGACTTTCATCAAAAAAGTTTTCTGATACTGACCACTCCAACCTCGTTTCGTAGGCGCGTAGTAAATGTGTCTGATCCTAGGATCTATTCAAAACAGTTATGAATAAATTCTAATCTACTCTATAACATATTTCTACTGTTTTCTTTGTGGATCTATTTGAGTTTGTTACTTAGACAAAAATAGATATGTCAAGTAGTCTAAAATATATGATAACACGACTTATTCGAAATTAACTGAAATAATGAAATGATTCGATTTTAGACCACCACATCCATCTAAAACGCATAATACAACATGTCAAGTATGCTTTGATGAAAAATCATCTAAATATTTTCATGCAATATTCAATCATAATTGTCTACAAGTTCAACGAACTATTTGTGATACATGTATCTATCGTCATATTCAACAATCTTTTCAAGAAATGTGTACAGATGATGTTCGATGTCCTGAACTTGAATGTAATAGTAAATATACTTATGATACAATTAAACATATTCTTATTTCAAATAAAGATAAAAATCTTTTTGAAAGATATGATCGATTTATAAATCTTCATCTATTAGAACAAATGGATGAATTTATTTGGTGTTCAAATTCTAAATGTCAAATGGGACAATTAAACGATGGTGGAGAATTTAATAATATTGTTACTTGTATTCGTTGTTATAAAAAAACATGTTTTAAACATAAAACAAAATGGCATACAGGATTGACATGTGAAGAATATGATTTACAAATAAATGATGATCTTAGAGCAAGTTTAAAATGGTTAAATCAAAATACAAAAACATGTCCAAATTGTCCTTATCAAATTGAAAAAAATGATGGATGTGATCATATGACTTGTATTAAATGTCAGTATGAATTCTGTTGGTCATGTTTAGCTGATTATAATCAAATACGACGTGAAGGAAATCATCGACATCATCCTAATTGTAAACATTATACAGCTCATAATGGACACTAAAATTTTGTATTTTCTATACATATTATTTCTGTGTATTTTGGATTCCGAAAATGATTTAAATTTAACATGTCATTCATATCCACAGATATGAATTTGGTAGAAATATTAATCCGGACTATATATACCTTTGATTTTTCTGTTCAGATCTTTTATGTTTTTATTGTTTTGAAGACTAAACTCTCACGCGTAAAAGCATTGTTAATTCAATTGCTTCTACTTTACTTTTATAAGAGATAGTTGTCAATTGAAAAGAAACAATCAAATCTATTTTTAAGCGCGATAGACCAAGTAACAATGTTTAAAACTTTCCCAGTACTATTTATGTCTATTTTGTCAACATGTTTTTGATAATCTAAGAGCCATTGTACGAAAGAGACGATCGAAATACGGACCATGAGCTGAATCGATGTTACCGATCTTAATGAAACTTTGCTTCTAAAACCGTTCTCCTATTGAAGATGTTGAAATCATAATAGATGCACACTCACGTAAAAACTGACGATAACCAGTACAGTACTCGCTCATTGTATATTTCACCATTTTTCAACAACAATATTTTTAGTCACGAAATTTTGTGAATATGTACTAGCGTAGGTACTCTACATACTGATACAGTCAGGAGGATGTGAATGTAGAGAAAGCCTTCACCCATACCCTGATCTCTTTCATGCACTGTTTCTAAGTTGTACATATTAGATGAATCTTTCAACTTTTTAACTCAGTCCTCACTACTAGTAGTTCATTTCTTTGGAGAACCACGATTTTGATCAAAAACTAATTTTCGAGAAGATTCTACTGGTACAAAGAAACACTCTAGAAAGCTGAAAGTTTTAGTGAATATACAAACTCTAGCTTCAGTAAAAATTTCAGATCTCTATCTAATTCAAATCACGAGTCATGAAGTATCAAACTTGCGTAAAATGTAAAATTTTTGCACATACTTGATGAGTCATAGAAATTTAAGAACTCAATTTTTTGAGTTAAAGATTTTATCATCGAGATATATGTCCACAAAAAATGTCAGCTCAATCAGTAGAGCTGTTCTAGAAAATATGGTCCGATCAGAACTCTTCTTGATCGAAATGCTCATTTTTTTGATCGTTGATAAAACATTCATAAAAAATCGTCCCTCGAAAACATATCTTGACAACTGAGCAGTTTTTTGTGAAAATGGCTCGTAATTTTACTCAAATAAGCCAATATATACACTAGAAAAAGTTATTGCTTGGATCAAAATAAAAAAAACAACCCAAAATTTTGAAAATCGTTACTAATAGCTAAGAGCCAGTAGTATGTAGTTCCAAATCGAGAACTTATCAGTGATAGAAATTCTGATCACAAGATAGAGAGCAAATCTAGGACCTATGAAAACTTCTATAGTGTTAAACAAAAAAACATTGTTGTTGAAAAATGATGAAATATATCATTAGTGAATACTGCATTTATTGTCGTCACTTTTTACCTGAGATTGCCTCTATTAGGATTTCAATATTTCAGCAGAGGAACTGTTTTAAAAGCAAAAATTTTGGCGTTTTCACATCTCACTTAGGATTGTATACAAGTAAAATTTCATTGACATTAGATTGAGCAGGATTGATTGCTCCTATCTTGCAATACCTACTAGAAACAACTGTAAAGTTTATAAATAGAAACAATTACTATATGAATAGGTCAATAATTCAAAATAATGTTTTTATTTTTGTATTGTGTTGTTAATGGAAAATAAATACCGATGAAATTTTATTTCTATCATTCATTCTTTTTTCTTATCAAACAAACAATAATCAATGTTTCTCATTCTGATAAAATTGATGGCTATCGTAGTTTCTTTTTTTGCATTTCATTTTATTAAAAATCGTACACATTCTCAAATTTCATAGCAAAGTTGATCGTAAATAACCACTTCATGATCATATTATAAATTTCTCTTCATTAGTTTATAACACATGCAAAATATATTTTCTTAATAGTGATCATAATATCTCCTATTATGATTTGTATCGCAACTTGTTATCTATTTTATCAATTAATTTATTTAAATCTAATTTTAAATGCATAAAAATTCAATTATAAAAATACTTCTCACTTGTCCAAGTGCGAATTACACTTAGGAGTAAACCTTCCAAATATGAGCATCTCTTTATTTTCAACCGTCGGTGCTTTTTTTCTAATTCAATAAGCAATAATAACCTGTCTCGATATTATGTGCAACACATGTTGTACTCATGACTCGCCGGAAAAGAAAAAAACATATAATACGTATTGTTTTATCATAAATAACCATGAGATACACATACAAAGAGGATGGACTAAATTTTCATATTAGAAAGAAGAAAAAACCGATATTATATAACAGCATCAGTGCCAGCTGTAACATAACATCACCCTTGTGTTAACAGCTGGTAACATCAACTCATGTATACATATATTGATTTGTTCCTGTGTAAAAAAAATTGAGTCAACAAATTGTTGAAAGGAAGAGAACGATTGTAACTGAGCACTTATATGTTGGAAAAAGAAAGTAAAAGCCTTTCAATAATGAGTACTTCGTAAAGTGACTATTTTTGACTAGTTTCAATGATGCTTACATTGGAGAGATTTGACATCATGATAAAATTATCGTTTAATGAATTTCTATTTACTAGTATATTTTAAAGTCTTCTATTACATTATTAAAAATATATATAAAAAAGTAGTACGAAATTATCTATATTTTTTAGAGTGAGGAGATGAGAGAATTGCTGTAGCATCTCATTTTTTTTAAATGTATGCTCTAAATGAATAAATACATACATGTCTATAGAGATGTATAATTTTCTTTTTAAAATCTTTTATTTAAAAAAAAAATCCAATGTTGAAATTCTCGTTCTTCGCGAATACAGCCTAGTGTTTATTATTTAGTAAATAATATTGAAGTTTAATAAAAAGTTACATTGTCTTCTTTTTTTTTCTCTAATATAGAAAATCTTATAAATTAAAAAATAAGCATATCAAAATTAATTAAATATTTAGTAATTATATTTAATGCAAGATATTTCTGACTGATAAAACTCATACTCAGCAATATTTTCATCAGTTGATATTGTTAGTTATCAAATAACGTTGCTGTTTATGGTAATCTATTGTATTCATATTGTATTAGTTCTTTATAGACTCTTCATACATATCTCTACAGGAGTAAAGAAAACTCTAGTGTCCTCTTTTCCATACTTTTTTTATATTGATTGATGTTGGGATCCAATACATTTTTTCTTTATCATTTTTTTTTCTTAGTGCAAAAGTCTTGAAAAGAATAGAGCAATGCGAGGGTGCGTAGCACTTGAAAAGTATTGGGGTTGAATCGTTCTTTTTTCTCTTTTCTCTAATATTTCATTGGTGTTTCTTTTTTTTTTTTTGTTGACGCAGTTCCATATTATGTATATTCTTTTCACGTATGTCCTTGGTGTAACATAAACATTAGCCAGCATTTTCTGTCGTTTTGGAGTTCATTTGTACACTCTCAATAAATGCCAGGTTTTTTTTTTGTACAAAGTTTCTTTATTTTTTCAGTAGATCTCAGACGATTCACACACATATATATATAACACGGATTGCAGCGTCCTGATTTTTCCTGTGGGGGACGTCCTATTTGAAAAATTTTTTCGCTGGACAAAATCAGGACGCTGCTGCGATCCATGATTATATATATACAGAAATAAAAGATGAATTTAATGTATCGAAAGATACACTTTAGTTCTCGACTTGAAATTTATTGATCCGTGTAAACTTGCGTCGATCAATTTCTTATCTTTCCTATAGTCGACATTTATAATGCCATACAAACGTATTACGTACAACGAAAAGAGTAAGCAAGAATAGTAATAGAGAAAGACAACAAGAGAAGAGAATCATATACTGTATGCAAATATATAAAGTACAATCGAATCTGTAAATAAAAACTTTTTTCATTATAGCAAGAGAAATCTATTCATTGTATTACTCTTATTTGTTAAGATTGAGTTAAAATAAATGGAAGATATAACTGTACCCTTTTCTGAAGTTCACCATGTTACAATTGACAAACTCGGTGATGTACCAATAAAAAGAGGTAATTTTCAATTACTTCCTTCACATGTTCAAACATGGCTTGCACAGATGGTAAAAGAAAAATTTTTGTTTTATATAATTAAAAAAAAAAAGAAAATTTCTTATTGATAATTTAGATTCAATTATGTACACCTCGTGATATACACATTTGTGATGGATCCGATGAAGAAGGTGAAATAGCTACAAAACTGTTAGTTGAAAATGGTCAATTATCACCATTAAAAAAATATCAAAATTGTTATATTTGTCTAACAGATCCTCGAGTAAAAGAATTATTTTTTTTCCTTGATTTTAAATAAATTGTTTTTGTTTAAGGATGTTGCTCGTGTCGAATCAAAAACATTTCTTATTACAAAAGATAAATTTCAATCCGTTCCACATTCACGTGAAGGTGCTAATTGTGTTCTTGGTCTATGGAAATCACCTGATGAAATAAAAAAGGATATTGATGATCGATTTCCAGGATGCATGCGAGGACGAACATTTTATGTTATTCCATATAGGTTATTATATTAAAACAAATAACCTTTCTTTTTTTGTTCTAATTGACCTTTCTATTTTTAGTATGGGGCCAATGGGTTCATCATTAAGTAAAATTGGTGTAGAAATTACTGATTCAGCTTATGTAGTTCTTTCAATGCGAGTTATGACTCATGTATCATCAGAAATCTGGAAATATCTTCGAAATGGTGAAGAATTTGTTCGATGTCTTCATTCAGTCGGTAAAACAATGACAACAAAAACAAACAAAAAAAAATCTTTTTAATTTTTTTTAATACAAATGTGTTTTTCATTTATTTAGGTGTTCCACTTCCTACTACACAATCAATTGTTAATAATTGGCCATGCAATCCTGAAAAGACATTAGTAAGTTAATTATTTTTTAAAAATATCAGAATCTTTTTTATCTCGTTTCTAATTTAATAGAGAAAAGCAAGTTTTTCTTGTTATCTAATAGAATCTTTTTTTTTCCAATTGGCTGTTATTTATAAATATCCTTTGCCATCTATTTTTATGCATTTCTACCATTGTGTTTTACATATCAACGTCATTTGTTATATATAGAAACAATATAAAATTAGAAATACAAAAAAAAGAAAACAGTTAGCAAAATTCGTGTGAGATTATAAAATGTCAAATATGATGTAGCTGTTGTTATATTAATCATATGATCGTGTTACACACATTAAAAGCATTTTTAAAATGATTAAAAAAAAAGTTTATTGATACCATATATATTTCTTTTTATGAACAATAGAATCAGTGATGGTTCGCTAGCAGAGTGTAATCCCATCCTTATGTAGACTGCTTTGAGTCCTCATTTGAATAAAACTATTCGTAAGAAATATTTAATAAATAAATAAAAAGTTGTTCTCTTTTTTCTTGTGAGTGCTTAGGTTGTTCATTTTCCAGATTCTCGAAAAGTAATGAGTTTTGGATCTGGTTATGGTGGAAATAGTCTACTCGGTAAAAAATGTTTTGCTTTACGTATTGCTGGTCGTATTGCATATGATGAAGGATGTTAGTATAATTTGATTTTAAAAAAAAAGGAATTTTTTTTGGTTATAAATTTTTTTTTGTTTTAAATTTAATAGGGTTAGCTGAACATATGTTAATTATGTCAGTAACAAATTCGCAAGGTGAAGAAAAATTTATTGCTGCTGCTTTTCCATCTGCATGTGGAAAAACAAATTTAGCTATGTTAACACCAGCAATTCCAGGTTATACAGTTCGATGTATTGGTGATGATATTGCTTGGATGAGATTTGATAAAGAAACAGGTGAATTACGTGCCATTAATCCTGAAGCTGGATTTTTTGGCGTTGCACCGTACGATTTTTGTTTTAATTTTTAATCATAATAAGAAGAGAGAAATTGTTGTTTTTTGTTTTTAGTGGTACAAATATGAAAACAAATCCAAATGCAATTTTAACTTGTTTACAAAATTCAATATTTACTAATGTTGGTGAAACAGCTGATGGTGGATTTTATTGGGAAGGTCTTGAAGAAGAAACTCCAGCTGGTACTGAAATAACTGCATGGACTGGTGAAAAATATAAATTAGGAGAAGATAAAACAAAAAAATCAAGTCATCCAAATGCACGATTTTGTTGTCCAGCCCGTCAATGTCCAATCATACATGACAAATGGCAAGATCCAGCTGGTTTACCTATTTCAGCTATTATTTTTGGTGGACGACGACCAGAAGGTGTTCCTTTAGTTATTGAAGCATTCAATTGGACACATGGAGTTTTTCTTGCTGCACAACTTAAATCAGAATCAACTGCTGCTGCTGAACATACTGGAAAAAGAATTATGCATGATCCATTTGCTATGCGGTAACAAACAAAAAAAAATATATAAAATAAAATTTATTTTTTATCTTTTTTTTTTTAAATTTAATTTTAGACCATTTGTTGGTTATAATTTTGGAAAATATATTCAACATTGGCTTGATTTTGAAAAAACTCCAAATAATAAAGTAAAAAAAAGTTTTTATTTTATTTTAATAAATTTATATTTAATTTTAATTTAGTTACCTAAAATCTTTCATGTCAATTGGTTTCGTGTAGATGAAAATAAAAAATTCCTTTGGCCTGGATATGGTAAGAAATTGAAATTTTTTGTTTTTTTCTTTGCTTATCTTTTATTTTTAATTTTATTATTTGTAGGTGATAATATCCGTGTACTTGATTGGATTATTCGACGAGCTAATAATGAAGATGTTGCTGAACCATCAGCTGTTGGTCTTTTACCTAAAAAAGGTTCACTTAATCTTCAAGGTCTTAATGTTGATTGGGATAAATTAATGGCATTACCAAAAGCTTATTGGGTTGGTGATATTGATGAAACATTACAATGGCTTGATGGTCAATTAGGTGATGATTTACCACAAGCTATCCGTGAACAAATTCAAAAACAAAAAGAACGTGTAGCGCAATTAAGCTAAATTGACAATCAATTATACAATTCAATTGAACAGTTTTTAACCTTTTAGATAGATCTAAACTGTAGTTAAAAACACTTTTCAAACCTCTTATTATTATACTGTTATGACATGTAAAACGTCTTTAAACACGAAAATCTTTTTTTATATTTCCGTCAAATACTGTTTTTTTTTCACCTTTTACATTATTTTATAAAATAAAGACAGCTACTCAGTACATAAATGACAATCATATTTCTATTGAAGTTTTTGTTTTTAATATGATGATATAAATCTTTATTCATTTCTAAATAAACAAATAGTAAAACGAATCAAAAAATATTTTATCTATAAAGAATAAATAATTATTAATGACACAAAAAATGTTCAACGAAAACATTAAATTCAATTGTTATATTTAGACAAAAAGAAAATTTGACACACAGCAAACAATAATATCGAAGGAGGAGATGGGTGAAGGTGGCTTTCAGTCTTGAAAAATTGTCGGTTTAACCCACTTCTTATTGTTTCTATTTTTACTCACCAATTGCCAGAAAAACATAAATCTTATTTGTTTTCATTTTAAAAAAAAATCGTTATTTGATATTTTATTATTTGTTTATTCATCAATATGACTTTTTGTGAAAAAACTCAACAAAATCAATTAAATAATATTTTATCAATAAAATAATAGAATAATATATTGCACGTTTCTTCGCACTACTGCACGTAGACCGATCGGTTCGGTTTGTTCTGACTTATTCAGACTAGTTCCATCTCTGATTCTGATAGTAGATTGTCGGTTCGATAACAACTATCGATAAACCATTATAGAATGTGGTCAGAAGACAACCGATTGCGCAAGTATTAAACTATCATCGTTTGATTGACTATGCTATCGGTGGTGTTTTTGTCACTAGCGACAAATACCGCTGGTATAGCACACAATATAACGAGCGATTTTTGTCCAGTTGGAATCACATGGGATAGAAGTTGAGTCAAATTTTATTATATTTTTACTTCTTAAAACATTATGAATTACTTAATGAACATTTTGAATAGTATTGATTATCAATCCAAGAAAAATAAAAAAAAATATTTTATGAATTTTTTTTCCATATAAATAATACCTATAAAATTCGGTTTTTATTCAAAAATAATCTAGTCAAATTCATTAAAATATTTCTTAAAATAAAATAAATAAATATGAAATTAATTTAAGAATACAGGGTGTCCCAAAAGTCACTCTACCAAAAAACAATTCAATATCACCACTAAAGGTGCTAGCAAAACGAGCTGATTTTTTAACCGATAATATTGAAACAGTTAGGGTGACTCTTTGTTAACTACTATTATCGATCTCAACAAAAAAATTTTACTTTTTCGCGGATAGAAAAAAAAACAATATGTTTAACAAAGGATCTCTCTAGGCATGTCTTTATGGATGTAAAGCTTGAACATCCCTCTATTATTGGTAAAAAATCAGTCCGTTTGCTAGCACATTTAGTGGAGATATGGAATTGTTTCTCGGTAAAGTGACTTTTGGGACATCCTGTATATTATTTTCAATATGTTTTCATATTCTTATTTAATTTTATATTTTAAAATGAAATAATATTTAAATAAGAACCCTAATAAAGATAATATTCATTAATTAATTAAAAATATTCAACTTGATAAATAAATAAATAATATTGAGATTCATTGTTTTTCATTTCTTTATATAGTTACTTCTTCCATATATCGCTAAGTCATTCTCTTCTTGTTAGAAATCTGTCTCATCCTATATTTTATTCCATTTTGATACAAATATTAATCTTGATATTCGTAAATCTGATGAAAATGAGACAGATATTAATGCAGCATGTATTCTATTGTCATCAATAATAATAAACTGAAGGGATAGTGTTATTGCCATCCTTGGTATAGATGTTGATTGCACTATTTCATCATTGCAGTCATGTCTATTTTATTTAGAACATGGATTGATATAAAAGAGAAAGAAATGACTGAGCAGACAGCTACTATTGTTCATAAGATCCGAGTGTCTGGTCGACTGATGATCAAACGCTACAGATAAAAGATAAACAAATGATATGCGTTAATGATTGGCATAAAAAAATCATTCGGAAATGGTTTTCAATCATTTATTATGAATATTCAAATAAATATTTCAATAAAAATACTATCAATATAATTATGTTAATGATTGTATTTTATAGTTTATAAACATGCAATTTCATGATAATCAATTTGATTTATTTGAATTATGATAGAATATTTGCTCGATTAACTATTAAAATACTTTTGAATGATTACATTCAAAAGTATTATCATCAAACAAAAATGAATCGTTTTCAACAATCAAGACTTGAATAACAACTTTAAGGTGAAATAAATAAGTTCACATACTAAATTTTATTCCTATTGAAAAACATATAAATGGAAACAAAATCCATTTATTATTGCATAGAGTATATATTCAATTATCAAATGATGAGTAATACTTTATAAACATTGCACTCTCGTTAAGTCGATCAGTTTAAGCTCGTCAATGTTCTATAAGTTTAGATTGTACCGAAAGGCTTTTGATAGTAGGTCAAAATATCATTTATGTTATATAAATATTATTCTATGGATTTGCGTTAGTATGAATGTATATTAAATTACTAATTATGCTGTTAATATTGTTTCTTTTAACAATATGAGTAATGTTTATTTGATGAGCTTCGAAGGACATACAACAAAAGAAATATTTTCGATAGATAATCAACATATCATTTTTTATGAAATCAAAAATTAGATCTTATTATTATTTGTTTATTGTTATCTAACAGAAAAAATATTGATATATTTTATTTGTTTGTTTAGTTATAGAATTATTCAATTGACAACATTCTATAATGTCCTTTATTCTATTAAAAATGAAAAAAGCAACGAAGTTATATATTAATAAATCAGAAGATTTCAAAATTATTTGATAATGGCCGATTTTTCTGAATTTCATACTATGTTATTTCTGATTATTGAATTTGACCAGACAGAATCTAGCCGATGAAAATAATTCACAATCCTTGCACCACGCTGTAATGAAGATCATAGGTTTTTTTTGTTTTATTCCAACATCAAACTCAATCGTAGGTATTTTCTTTAGAAAAAAAACATTAAACTATATTTCTCTATTCAGATAATGATCAATGGCGGATCAAATTGTATTGTCTTATTGAGATTTAATCAAGCAACAGGTCCAATATTAAGTGTCAACTTACAAAAATTGAGTTACATTTCAATTTATGAAATAAGTTATGATCGATAGTACGTCAAATTACAATGATAGTTTCATATTGAAAGAAAGTTAATTTTAAAATATCTGATAAAAAATTAGAACGAAGAAAGTTAAGTGAACACTTTTATAAAAAAAATATTTTTAATTTTACGTCGAAAGATTTTTGTTAGAAGTAAATTTGAATAACAGTTAACATAAAATAGAGTATAAACTTACAAAAAGTTCTATATGTATTTTTTTTTCGAAATTCTTTATTTAATACTGTATAATCTATTCGTATATAAATATAACTGCGATCATCAAAGTAGACAAAGTATCGATCATAATATTCAGTAGTTTTCTAGGCCAGCTAACAGTTTATTATTTAGTGTTATAATTCCAGCTACCCATGCAACTAATTTCATTGAAGTTCATTTTACGTATTATAACTGTTGATATGAAGAGAAATCATCTGGTGCTCTTTTGAGGCAAGCCATTCAGTATTTTATAATGACTGATATTTTTCTAGAGCGAAGCTTTTTCTTCACTATTGTACATCATTAATAAATCAATATCAAAATTAAATAAATGACAACCTTTAGTAAACTAAACTGACAATCAGTAAGTCCATAACACCCATAAACCATCAGTAGATTGATCAATATAATGTGCACTCCATTTAAATGAAACTACTATCGGGGTCAAAATATAAGGCACTCAGTTGTTTTTTGAATAACTTTTGATAGGAACAAGATAGAGACCTATGGTATTCAGCATTTGATAGCCAAGATCCAAGAGCATATTTTTATAAGCAAAAACTTTTCTGAGAAAAAGTCCAAAGTTTGGTTTTTCAAAGAATCTTTGAAAAACCACGCTGGCATTTTGAGAATTGTCATAGAAGTCTATTGATTTTTTTGCACATTCGGAATCAGCATCAAAAACTGCGTCGACTCATATATTTTTCTAATCTTTTAACGAAATTCTTTTTTCCGCCGAAAAATTCGTCCTTTGTCATTTTTTGACTGAATTCATTTATTGATGTGGTCCTGAGGATGACTAGAGGTAAATTTTCGACGAAAAAAAGTTTTGTTAAAAGACTAGAAAAATATATGAGTCGATGCAGTTTTTGATGCTGATTCCGAATACGTAAAATAATCAATAGACTTCTATGACAATTTTCAAAATGCCAGCGTGGTTGTTCAAAAATCCTCTGAAGAACCAAACTTCGGACTTTTTTCTCAGAAAAGTTTTTGCTTATAAAAATATGCTCTTGGATCTTGGCTATCAAATGCTGAAAACCACAGATCTCTATCTTGTTCCTATCAAAAGCTATTTAAAAGACAATCAGATGCCTTATATTCTAGCGTCGATAGTAGAATGCTTTCATATAAAAACCAATATAAACATTTATGTTAAACTTCTAATACTTGTCCTAAAATATTTTCTTTCATTTAGTATGAAATAAAAGATTATTATAGTAAGAATTTTCCACTGGAATCTCTTATATTTACAATCTATATGAATAGTAAAACTTTTAAAACTACATAAGAAAAATATACAACATCAAAATATTATTATGTTAAATGTTAGTTCATCTCATATTTTATTGATAAATAATTTATTTAAGTTTAATGAAAAATTCTTCTCCATAAAAATATTTTTTTTATTTCTTGACGAATAATACTTCCAGAAACGAGTAAATTAATGTAACCACAAATACAAAATCGAATATAAAGACTAAATCCACCAATTGATCTAA